ACATTTTATAGTTTGCTCTGAAACCACAGGCAGCAGCCAAGGGAGGATGTTGTGGTTGGGTGACAGGCTATAGATATATCCCCACCCTACTTGCACCTCGCTCATGGTGCAGCACAACCTTGTTTACCCACGCTTGCACAGAGCAGCTCGCAAGGTGTGCTGGCTGTGCAAAGAGAGGAGATTCCACAGAAAGCTGGAAATACACCAAAACCTCAGCATCTCTGCTCCATCGCTGCTGCTTAATCTTCATCCCAGTTCAGGGTGATGGGAGAGGAAATGTGGCCAGGCTTTGAGATCTGACCACAGGCAGCTGCTGACCAAGGTCAGTGTGAATTTCAGCCCTCCACCAACAGGCAGCAAGGGCTCATGGTGTGTATTTTTTGCCCCCACAGACTCCACCATCGCCCATGTTCAACGGGACAGGGTAAGTCGTGGCACAGCTGTGCACAGCTCCTTTCTGCAATTCTGCAGCCTGGTGCACACTCATTGTGCAGGGCTCACAGTCAGCAGCTGAAGTAACAGGGTTTCTTTTCTCCCTAAAGCCTCGTCCCGTGCAGCAAATGAGAAACACCACGACATATGCCACGGTGACCCACACCCAGACCCGATAGCGCTGCCACAGGGCAAGGGCACAGGAGCCTTACCCACGGCTGCCTTTGCTCTCCTGCAGAGGACTTTGGGTGCACTTTTGTCTTCTCAGGGGTTTGTTGTCACAGGGAAGGGCTGTGAGTGTCTAGCAAAGACGATGTAGGACTCACACCTCCATCTACAATACATTAATACTTCTAAAGTATATGGGCTATACCAAATCTTACTGTGAGTGTATTGATTTTTTCTGAATGAAAGAAAACCTCTCGCTGCGCTCAGTGGATGACGTGTACACCTAAGTTGCATTATAATGCCATGGGGGTGTTATTCTACCCATCCATGGAGATGTCCATTTTTGACCTAGATGGACAGATATCACTGCAGGGATGTCCTCGCATGTGTGTGTCAATCGGTGAGTGCACTGCAGATGTGGTTTTGCGTTGATGTCAAATACACATCTCTGACTTTGTGTTCCTGATGGCACCTCCGTCTCATGCAGCCACACATGGAATAGGACGGAGCAGACAGACAGACACTGAGGCACAAAGGGTGGTGGTGTCAATCTGAAGGGATGCAAATAGCCTTGCAGACAGACCTTACAGAGAAGAACTACACCAGCTCCTTCCTGTTTGGGGTGGCTTTATTCAGAGCTGGCAGGTCGGCCGGGCTTTCCCCAGTGCTCTCTGCCTCTCTCAGAGAACCAGCTGCATCGCCTCTCACTTGCTCAGCTTTTGGCATCCAGTGGGTGTTGAGTGCAGTTGGATTGAGAGAGCTGGAAAACACAAGGGAGAACAAGGAGTGGCCTTGCTCTCACAGTGCCCACCATGGGGAAATGCTGAGAGCATGGAAGGAGGGGGATTCAGACAGAGCACAGCAATGAGAAGCTCCCAGGCTCCTGCCATCTGATGCACTTTTGGCTTCCATTTGCTCTCCAACAGCCTGCCCTCTTGCAACCATCATGTGCACGCTCAGCCTGCAAGGCTCTGCCCATCTCATCCAGGTTGGCATCTGGAGGGAGAACCTGAGTTAGTGCCCAGCCACACACTCAGCAGGCAGGGCTTCCCCATTCTCCACCAACGTTGCCTCCATGGTCACGGCTTGCCATGGCAAAGGCATCAGCACTTCACACAGTGCCTAGAGGAGAAGGGTGAAGAAGGAACGTGGCCCTCATAATCCACGAGGAAATGGTTGGCGACCTGCTAAAGCCCTTGGATGTACACAAGTCCATGGGGCCAGATGGGATCTACCCGAGGGTACTGAGAAAACTGGCAGAGGACCTGGCCAAGCCGCTTTCCATCATTTATCAGCAGTCCGGCTATCAGAGTAGGTCCCAGTTGACTGGCAGCTAGCAAACATGACGCCCATGTACAAGAAAGGCTGCAGGGTAGGCCCAGGGAACTATAGGCCTGTTAGTTTGACCTCACTGCTAGGGAAGCTCATGGAGCAGATTATCTTGAGTGCCATCACATGGCACTTACAGTGCAACCAGGTGATCGGGCCCAGTCAGCATGGGTTTATGAAAGGCAGGTCCTGCTTGACGAACCTGATCTCCTTCTATGACAAAGTGACGTGCTGGGTGGATGAGGGCAAGGCTGTGGATTTGGGCTACCTTGACTTCAGCAAGGCTTTTGACACCATTTCCCACAGCATTCTCCTAAAGAAACTGGCTGCTCATGGCATAGACTGGCATATGCTTTTGTTGGGTTAGCCGGTTAGTTGGGTTAGTTTGTTTGACAGCCGGGCCCAAAGAGTTGTGGTGGATGGAGTCAAATCCAGTTGGAGGCTGGTCACTAGTGGTGTCCCCCAGGGCTCAGTACTGGGGCCAGTTCTCTTTAGTATCTTTATAGATGATCTGGATGAGGGGATCGAGTGCACCCTCAGTAGGTTTGCAGATGACACCGAGTTATCTGCTCGAGGGTAGGAAGGCTCTGCAGGAGGATCTGGATAGGCTGGACCGCTGGGCTGAGGCCAAGTGTATGAAGTTCAACAAGGCCAAGTGCCGGGTCCTACACCTGGGGTGCAATAACCCCAAGCAGCACTACAGGCTGGGAGCTGAGTGGTTGGAAAGCTGCCAGGCAGAAAAGGACCTGGAAGTATTGGTTGAAAGTTGGCTGAATTTGAGCCAGCATTGTGCTCAGGTGGCCAAGAAGGACAACAGCATCCTGGCTTGTCTAAGAATCACTTTGGCCAGCAGGCCTAGGGAAGTGATTGTCCCCCTGTACTCCGCTCTGGTGAGGCTGCACCTCGAGTACTGTGTTCAGTTTTGGGCCCCTCACTACAAGAAGGAAATGCAGGTACTCTTGGGAGTCCAGAGGAGGGCAATGAAGCTGGTGAGGAATCTGGAGAACAAGTCTTATGAGGAGTGGCTGAGGGAGCTGAGTTTGTTCAGCCTGGAGAAAAGGAGGCTCAGGGGCGACCTTATTGCTCACTCTAGATACCTTAAAGGACGTTGAAGCGAGGTGGGGATTGGTCTATTCTCCCATGTGCCTGGTGACAGGATGAGGAGGAATGGGCTTAAGTTGTGCCAGGGGAGGTTTAGGTTGGATGTTAGGAAAAACTTCTTTACCAAAAGGGTTGTTAGACATTGCAATGGGCTGCCCAGGGAAGTGGTTGAGTCCCCATCCCTGGAGATTTTTAAAAGATGTTTAGATGTTGAGCTTAGAAATATGGTTTAGTGAAGGACTTGTTAGTATTAGGTCAGAGGTTGGACTAGGTGATCTTGATCTTTCTGTGATTCTGTGATTCTGTGATTTCATTACATTTCTCCCCACCCAATTCTCCATCCTGTCTAGGTCTCAATGGATGGAAGCACAGCCTTCTGGCGTGTCAGCCACTCCTCCCAGTTTAGTGTCATCAGCAAACTTGCTGACAGCGCACTCCATTCCCTCATCCAAGTCACCGATGAATATATTGACTAGTTAGCTGGTCCCAGTACTTGAGGGACTCCACCAGATACAGGCCTCCAACTCGCCTCCACCCCATTGACCACAACCCTCTGGCTTCTTCCCTTCAGAAAGATCACAGTCCACCTCACTACCAGATGACCGTTCACACACTTCAGGTTAGCTGCGAGGATGCTGTGTATGGGAGATGGTGTCAAAGGCTTTACTGAAATCAAGATAGACCACATCCACTGCTTTAATATCATCTATCCCCCCGCCTATATCCTCATAAAAGGCTCTCAGTTCCGTCAAGCATTACTTCCCCTTGGTGAAGCCATGTTGACTGCCCCTAATGACACTTTTATCCTTGATATGCCTGGAGACAACGCCAAGGCTAAGTTGTTCCATCAGCTTTGCAGGGATGGAGGTGAGGCTGACTGGTCTATAGTTACCTGGGTCATCCTTCTTTCCCCTTTGGAAGTCTGGACTAACATTTGCTTTCCTCCAGTCCTCAGGCAACTTTCCTGATGCCCATTACTTTAAAAAGATAATGGATAATGGCCTAGCAATGACTTACACCAACTCCCTCAGCTCCTGGCATGAGCATCTTGAGCATCCCATCATGACTAGTGGATTTATGGACATCCAGAGATGTTTATTTTTCTTCTAAACAAAACCATATCTGCAATGCACACACCAGTTTGCAGACACATGCAAGCACATCCCTGCAGTGATACCGGTCCCTATAGGTCCAAATGTGCATCAGTGTACGTGCAAGGAAGAGCAGCCCTGTGACTTTATCATGCAGTTAAGGAATACATAATTTCCAGTGAGCACAGGGAGATGGTTTCACATGAGGAAAAAACATTGATACACTCACAATATTACTTGGTACACCTGATATAGTTTAGAGGTATTAATTTATTGCAAACAGAAATATGAGTCCTTCATCCTCTTGGCTAGATACACACAGCATTTCCTGTGACATAAAACCCCAGAGAACCCCAAAGTGCACCCCCCAGCCCCATGATATGGCTGCAAGAACCACCTATAAAATTATAAAGGCAGCCGTGGGCAAGGCTCCTGTTCCCTTGCCCTGTGGCAGCACTATTGGGTCTGAGTTCGGGTCACCGTGGCATATGTCGTGGTGTCGCTCATCTTCTGCACAGAAAGAGGCTTTAGGGAGAAATGAAACAGTGTTACTTCAGCTGCTGACTGTGAGCCCTGCAAAATGTGCGTGCACCAGGCTGCAGAATTACAGAAAGGAGCTCTGCACAGCTGTGCCATGACTCACCCTGTCCCATCGAACATGGGCGATGGTGGAGTCTGTGGGGAAAAAACACACCATGATCCCTTGGTGATTGAAGGGGGGTGAACCCCCTATGTAGCAGGTTCTTAGGCAAGGCCCCCACTGATGAGAGCCTCTGGCTGTGGGCCAGGCTCAGATGGCCACAGAAAACTAACAGCACAGCCCCCAGCTGAACCGCAAGCCTCTGCCCCACTGGCCCTAGCTCAGAGCAAGCACAGAAACTCGAAGCAGACGCTGCTTCCCAAAAGCAGCGCCCAAAAAGATGCTAGGGCAGGCGCCATGGGCAAGGCTGTCTCCTTCTGGCCCTGCCGTCCTTCTGCTGGCACTCTGTGAGTTGGGGCATTGCTGGGTGTGGGGGCTGAGGACTAGAGGGCTGCTGCTGGGGGCAGGATAGATCCGTGGTGGGCACAGGGGAAGTTGGGGATAGCGTGTGTGGGGCAGGCGTGCAGCACTGTGGGACAGAGTTGTTTGGGGGAAAGCAGGAGGCCATGACCCCTCTAAGCAAAGCTCTCTCTGCCCCATGCTGCAGGTACTGGCGTGACCACCCAGGACATCTGCAGCTCTCCAGGATTTCAGGTGCATGGAGGTGGGTCACGAAAATGAACGTGTCCTGGGGAAAGAGATGGGAACAGAGAAGGGGATTATTCCCTCGCAGTTCCCCCTGTGAAGCCCCAGGAGAGCAGATTTTTCCAGCCTTGACATGCAGTTGGTTTTGCCACCTGGCCATCACTAATGCTTGCCTGGGGAATCCCTCTGCCTTCTCTCCAGGTAACGACCAGACTCCAGTCCTGTACCTCAATGCTTCCAGTGCCAAGGAGGGGGAAAGAGTGCTGCTTCAATGTATCCTTGATGAGCAGTTTCCTCCTACACGAGTTGTCTTCTGCAAGAATGGGCTGGAGGAGTTCAGCCTGAAAGCCCAGCAGGGCAGGCTCATCTATGCTCTGGTCCTGAACATCACCTCCAGAAGTGCTGGGATGTACACGTGTGGGTACCAGCAGAGGAACGAGAGCAACTGGGTGAGGAACTCTGCTCTCAGTGCTCCCTGGACCTTGTCTGTGGCAGGTGAGAAACGGCCCCAGAGTGGTGAGGGTAGAAGGTTTCAGAAAACTGCTGAGGCTGGTGCTGTGTGCTGCAGCAGGCAGGGCATGGCTCTCGGATGTTTCCCCCTCAGGAGTGTTCCCTCTCTTCAGAGGCAGCCCCTACAGAGAGAAAGCTGCTCTCAAGGGCTGTCCCCATAACTGCAGCAGCAGGTCGGCTGAGGCATGGGGCTGTGCAGTGCCCATGCAGAGAGAGCAAGAGCTGTGGATGTTGATGGACCCTGGCATGTTCCAAGATCTGCCCTGTACATTGATGAGCCTATGGCAGGGGAAGTGGTGTGATTGTCATGAGACAGGCTATAGCCTGTACATCAGCAACAGTGTGGGATGGTTCCAGAAGGGAGAGCACAGTGGTGCTGGTTTGAGACACAGAAAGGTGCCTGCTCAGCAAGAACAAACAGGAAGAAAAAGGACTCGGGTGTGGCGGTGTGCCAGGTCTTGGCCCCACTAAGAAAAACCCCTTTTGCCCCAAGGTGCAAGTGCTGGTGAGACCATCACTGATATCCAGAGCTCCACAGGTGAGGACAAGCTTGAGGGTGTTACGGCTGCATGGGCATGTCCTGCTCCCTGCCTCTCCCCATCACACCCCGCTGCCCTCACACCCTCTCTCCCCCAGCTCCCCATGCCCGGATCCCGCACACACTCCCCACAGGCACGGTGCTGGCAGTGGCAGCCGTCGGCCTTGTCCTCCTGTCTGCAGGCAGCTGGTTTGCCATCAGGAAATGTGAGGGAGTGGGGGAAGAAGGAGGGAAGGCTAAGGCCGTGGGGGTCCTGCTGCGGGACTGGTGCGCTAGGAAAGGCGGTGGGGGGAAACCTGGGTGTTTGCGGCTGGGCCAGACGGTGCCTGGGGCGATGGCTGTGGGCAGCTCAGCTGGGGAGGCTCCCGAGGGAGCTGGGGAGCTTCAGCCTTCATCCCCCAGCCCCGAGATGGGAGCCAGGGCTGGGCAGCACCTTGGCCTGTGCACCTCAGCCCCTGTTCTTCTTGCAGGTGCCTGCAGAGGGAGATGCCCAAGGTGAGCACCATGGGATGGTGGCTGTGGGGTATGGGGGAGGGAGTTGGGGGCATATTGAGGTCGTGGGGTGCTTCTTGGCCAGGGGCAGCATTCTCTGTGTGTGTGGCTGCATTCCCTGTGCTGGGGCATGGAGGACGGGGTTTGTCAAGGCGTGGATTTCAGCTCAATACTCATTTGGAAAGCACCACCCAAAAGAGTTTTCTCACAGTGCTCTTGTCCACAAATATACACTCCAGAATGATTCCATTCCTCTCCAGGCATCAGCAATTGGACAGACCACAGATGGAAGACACCAGCAACGGCGAAGTCCAGTGTGAGTACTACCTCCTCCCTTGGGGGAAGCACATGCCCTCTGACATGGTCACCCCTGCTTATGCATTCCCCATGCAATCCCACTTCATCTCCACTGGGACATACAAAATCCTGCCGTTCATCAAGACCAGGTTTCTCTCCAGACCTCATGTCCTGCTTCTTCCTTGCATGCAGAGTGGCGTGCGGCTGCACAAGGGACATGGCAGCATCCCAGTGCTCCCAGGGACAAAGCCATTTGCTTGGGGTCCTTCCACACCAGCTCCGCCTCAGGCAGCATTTCCCCTGCTTCAGCCTCTGCTTTTTCCTTTCTTCAGTCCTGTCAGAGGAATTTCTGCTCAGAGAAGCAAAAAGCACCGCGCAGCAATGAAGATGTGGCTCCTTGCCCTGGTGGGAAAGCATTTATAGTTTGCTCTGAAACCACAAGCAGCACAAGAGAGGATGTTGTGGTTGGGTGAACAGGCTATAGATATATCCACCTACTTGCACCTCACTCATGTTGCAGCACAACCTTGTTTCCCACGCTGCACAGAGCAGCTCGAAGGTGTGCTGGCTGTTTGCAAAGAGAGGAGATTCCACGAAGCTGGAAATACACAAAACCTCAGCATCTCTGCTCCATCGCTGCTGCTTAATTTTCATCCCAGATCAGGGTGATGGGAGAGGAAATGTGGCCGGCATTGAGAGCTGACCTCAGGCAGCTGCTGACCAAGGTCAGTGTGAGTTTCAGCCCTCCACCAACAGGCAGCAAGGGATCATGGTGTGTTTTTTTTGCCCCACAGACTCCACCATCACCCACGTCGATGGGACAGGGTGAGTCATGGCACAGCTGTGCACAGTCCTTTCTGCACTCCTGCAGCCTGGTGCACGCACATTGTGCAGGGCTCACAGTCACAGCTGAAGTAACAGGGTTTCTTTTCCTCCTAAGCCTCTTCCCGTGCAGCACATGAGCGACACCACGACGTATGCCACGGTGGACCCACACCCAGACATCCGATAGCGCTGCCACAGTGCAAGGGCACAGGAGCCTGCCCACCATACTTTGCTCTGTTCAAGAGGGCTTGTGCAGCCATAACATGGGGCTGGGGGTGCACTTTGGTCTTCTTGTTTGTTTTGTTTGTTTTTTTTTGTCACAGGGAAGGGTGTGAGTGTCTAGTCAAGACGATATAGGACTCATACCCATCTACAAGACATAAATACTTCTAAAATATTGAGCATACAAATTTACTGTGAGTGTATTGATTTTTTCTGAATAAAAGAAAATCTTGCGTGCTCAGTGGATGTCATGTAAACCTAAATTGCATATAATTTTATGGGAATGTTATTCTACCACACGGAGCCCATTTTTGACCTACATGGGCAGATATCACTGCAGGGATGTCTCGCATGTGTGTGTCAATAGTGTGTGTGCACTGCAGATGTGGTTTTGCTTTGATGCAAATACACATCTCTGACTTTGTGTTCCTGATGGCACTACCGTCTCATGCACCATATCAGAAAGTGACGGAGCAGACAGACAGACACGAGACACAAAAGGGCTGGTGGTATCGATCTGAGGGATGTGAAGAGCCTTGCAGACAGACCTTGCCGAGAAGAACTACACCAGCTCCTTCCTGTTTGGGTGGCTTTATTCACAGCTCGCAGATCAGCACGGCTTTCCCAGTGCTCTCTGCCTCTCTCAGAGAACCAGCTGCATCGCTCTCCCTTGCTCAGCTTTTGGCATGCATGTGTTTGAGAGCAGTTGGATTGAGAGAGCTGCAAAACACAAGGGAGAACAAGGAGTGGCCTTGCTCTCATGGTGCCCACCATGGGGAAATGCTGGGCATGGAAGGAGGGGGATTCAGCCAGAGCACAGCCACGCAAAGCTCCCAGGCTCCTGCCATTGGATGCACTTTGGCTTCCATTGCTCTCCAACACCCGTCATTGCAACCATCACATGCACGTTCAGCCTGGAAGGCTGTGCTTGGCTGAACTCACCTTCACTCTGCCCATCTCATCCACGTTGGCATCTGGAGGAGAACCTGAGTTAGTGTCCACACACAGCAGGCAGGGCTTTCCCACCACCACAGTTCCCCATGGTTACAGCTTGCCATGGCAAAGGCATCAGCACTTCACACAGTGCTAGAGGAGAAGGGTGAAGAAGGGACTGGAACTTACAGAAATGGCTGGGGTCAGCAGAGAGTCTTGAGCACTGCCAGCACCATGAGAGGCATAGAGAGAGGAGAGAAAAAAATGTCCTGAAGGTCTGCAGCACCACTGCCACAAAGAAGCACAGGGCCATTTGGGCCATTCCATGGATGATGCTATAATTTCCAGGATTCAGCTGAAGTCCACCCACAGCAAGCCACTTCCCATGCGTCACACAGAAGGACAAATTGCCCCTGGCCATGCAGCGCACCAGGGCCCTGCCATGCCCCCCACTCCAAAAAACCCCACAGCCAGCAGCCCTTGGTGCTCACCTTGGGCATCTCCCTCTGCAGGCACCTGCAAAAGAACAGGGTCAGAGGTGCACAGGCAATGTGCTGCCCAGCCCTGGCTCCAATCTTGGGGCTGGGGACGAAGGCTGAAGCTCCCCAGCTCCCTCAGCAGCCTCCCAGCTGGGCTGCCACAGCCATCACCCCCAGGCACCGTCTGGCCAGCTGTGCACCCCCAGGTTCCCCCACCACCTTTCCCACTACCAGCACTGCAGCAGGACCCCCATGTCCTCAGCCTTCCCACCTTCCCCACTCCCTCACCTTTCCGATGGCAAACCAGCTGCCTGCAGACAGGAGGACGAGGCCGATGGCTGCTACTGCCAGCACTGTGCCTGTGGGAGTGTGTGCGGGATCCGGGCATGTGGAGCTGTGGGACAGAGTGTGTGAGCAGCGGGGTGTGATGGGAGAAGCAGGGAGAGGGACGTGTCTCTGCAGCTGGCACAGCTCCTGCCTGGTAAAGCTCCTGCTTGTCCCCATATCCTGGGGAACGCAGCACAGCACACCCACTCCCCATGCTCGCGTTTCTGGGGGGTAGGAGGGAATCTCTCACCTGGGGGTGATGGACTTGCTGGGGAACTCACCACATTGCCTGGCAGGACAAAAGACAGGCTTAGTGTCTACAGTGCACCCAGATCCTTCCCAGAATGAGCCTCAGCCCTATGGCCACATCCCTCCACCGATAGGCAGCACCATCCCAGGGAAGGCATAAAATGCCCGCGGCTGTTGTGCCAAATGGGCCCCATGGATCTGCTGTCTAAATTCCCTTGTGAGTGGTTAAGTATAGTTTGCCAAGGTGTGCCTGGCGATTAAATATGGCACCACCACTCTCATCTTTCTGTGATTGTGGGGGCTAGAGGATCACATAATCACAGAATGGCCAAGGTTGGAAGGGACCTCTGAAAGTCATGGAGTCCAGCCTTCTGCTGAGCAGGATCAGCTAGGACACACTGCGCAGAATGGCATCCAGGTGATTTGGGAATATAAGCAGAGCAGACTCCACAGCGTCTCTGGGCAGCCTGTTCCAGTGCTCTGTCACCCTCCCAGTAAAGAAATGCCCCTCATATTCAGATGGAACTTCCTGTGCTTCAGTTTGAGCCCATTGTCTCTCACCCTTTCCCTGGGCACAATCGAAAAGAGATCAGCTCCATCCTCTCAACACCCTCCCCTCAGATATTTATAGACATGGATCAGGTCTCCCCTCAGTCTCCTCTTTTCCAGGATAAACAGGCTCAGTTCTCTCAGCTCCAGACCTCTGACCATCTTCGTAGCCCTCGTCAGGGCTCTTTCCTGTAGTTCTATGCCCCTCCTGAACAGGGAATCCCAGAACTGGACACAAAATGCTTGTGTTCCATGCAGGGAAATGATTTCTTCCCAGGAGCTCACACCCAGAGAACAAATTCCCTCTCCCTTGCCATCACCACCCCACACACACCTCTCTTCAGTCACCCATCCCCACACTCAACCTCACCTGGGGAGCTGCAGAAGTCCTGCGTGGTCACGCCAGCAGCTGCACCTTGGGGCACAGAGGGTTTTGTTTAGAGGGAGTGAGAGCTGGGGCAGCCACACGCTTGTGCCCATGACTGCTGCTGGCTCCTTGCTAGGCAGGCACCTTGTCACCCCTACGTCTCAGTCCAGCACCCCTGTGGTCTTCTCCCTTGGTTCAATACCATGTCCCTTTCAGCTGGTTTGATATTCCACACAGAGGTCTCCAAGTACCTAAGAACTCCAGTATCTCCCTGTTCTCACCCAAGAGCTCCAGACCCATTTTAAGAGCCAGAAATGTAGACTTCTTGTTCACATATAGGTAACTGCCCAGCTTATGACAATCTCTGTATTTCTCCTGCCATAGGCTCATCAATGCACAGGGCAGATGTTGAACCATGCCACATGCTCAATATTAAGCAGAGGTGGTGCTGCAAGGACATGGGGACACATTGGAAGCTGCTCTCTCTCTCTAGGGGCTGCCTTGGAGGAGAGGAAACACTCCCATGAGGGAACCACCCCAGAGCCTGCTGCAGCACACAGCTCCAGCCTCAGCACAGCCATGTGGTGGCAAGTGCCTCCGTCCCTTCTCACCCCTCCAGCCCGGAGACGTGTCTCACCAGGGACATCCAGGATTTGGCAAGCACTGAGGGCAGAGCTCCTCCTCTGTTTCATCTCATTCCTCTGCTGGTACCCACAGGTATATATTCCTGCGCTTCTTGACGTGATGTTCAGGACCACGAGTAGCTCAGCTGCCCTTGATGGGCTTTCTGGCTGTACACCTCCTTCCCATCCTTGCAGATGATGATTCGTATTACGGGTGACACCACAGGGAGAATACACTGGAGCACAACTCTGGTACCTGGCTGAGCAGAACTTGAGTTCATTTGGAGAGCAGGAGCTGGGAGATCCCCTGCAGGAGACACAGCAGTGAAGGCTGCCATAGGGCAGAGCTCACAGTGGTTGGGCTTCCAAGTGCCCTGGGTCTGGGAGGGAAGGACTCACGAGTACCTGGGGAGCTGCAGATGTCCTGGGAGGTCATGCTGGCAGCTGTACCTGGTGGCAGAGAGGAATTTGCTGAGAGGGCAGAGTCCAGGTTCATCCAGATTTCCTACTCCCATATCCCCTTGACCAAATCCTCACTGCTAAGTAGGCATCATCACACCTGCGTGTTCTCATGCTGTATATCTCATTAACCTCTTGAACAATGCCAATCCCAATCCCATTTTGTGTGGATTTATTGTTTCCAGCTAAATCCCATATCTCCTTAAAAAACTCAGCAGTCCTAGAGACTCAGAGCACACTCCAGAAGAATCTATGGTGCTAGAGAAGTGTGCCCCTTGCTCAGATGTGATTTTACTTCGAGGAAGCCATCCCCATCCTGCCTTCCACAAACAAACTCTGCCCTGGTGCTGCACACCTGACCCACACACGCTGTCCCCATCCTCCATTGTGCCAACCACTGTCCTGTCCTGCCCCCAGGAGCAGCCCTCCAGCCCTCAGCCACCACACCCAGCAATGCCCCAACTCACAGAGTCACCAGCAGCAGGACGGCAGGGCCAGAAGGAGACAGCCTTGCCCACGGTGCCTGCCCAGCATCTTTTGGGCACTGCTTTTGGAGAGCACCATCTGCTTCGAGTTTCTGCTTTGCTCTGAGCTGGGGACGGTGGGGCAGAGGCTTGCAGTTCAGCTGGGAGCTGTGCTGTTAGCTTTCTGTGGTCACCTGAGCCTGGCCCACAGCCAGAGGCTCTCATCAGTGGGGCCTTGACCTAAGAACCTGCTACATCCACTGCTTTGGTTGAGCCCCCACTGTTTTCTGTCCTCTCACACACTGCAGCACACGCTAGTTTTACTTGTATCTCAGGGACAACGTTGTCCCTATAAAGAGCTCCTGCCCCTTGTGCCCACTCAGATTTGCTCTCTCCTGAACATGTCACTCTGCTTCTCTTCAATGTCTAGACAAATGATGGCATCAGGGGAATCTTGCACCAAGGCCAATGTGACTTCAGAGCTCTGGGGCAGCTGCCAAGGCCGTGGGCAGATTTCTCCTTCATCCTGTTGGTTAATTGGCTTATGAAGAACTCTCAGGAAGTCTCAGCTGGGGCCATAGTGCTGCCAGCACAGCACTGTGGGAGCCATCTGCACCCACACTTTGACCCTCATGCGACCACACAACAACCAGGAAAGGCAGAGGCTTCGTCCTGAAGGCACCAGAGCTCCCCCACGCTGCTCTCTCAATTCCCTTCCTCGAAGGAAGGCGCTGAGGCAAGGGAAGCAGAGCAGTGGCAGCACATCCCTTGGGCATGCTGCCACAGCTGCCTTGAACCCAATGGCAGCGGGAGCCTGGCCACGGTGGGGGTCGTGCTCTGAGTATGGGGGAGCAGGCTGGGGACAGCATGGAGCCCAGGGGGACATCAGAGCACCATGGGGACAGGGACGTCTCCAGGCTGCCTGGCCTCGTGGGCTCCGTGGCTGCATCTCTCCAGGAGGAGGGTGATGATGGGGGCAGACAGCAGCAGGAGCAGGCTGAGGGCAGAGCGCAGGATCCAGACCTCCAGGGGCATGGCTGACCCTGGGAGAGAGAGGAACACAGTGTGGCCAAGGCAAGCCTTGGAGGACGGCTGTGCTGGGAAGGGCTGATGAGCAATGGCTCACCTCTGGAAGGGAGCTGGGCCTTGTGTGAGGGGCTGCTGCCTGTGGGAGACATGAACATGCTGTGAGTTTCTGGAGCTCTTTGCTGGGACAATCCCAGATGCTGAGCAGACCCTGAGCTCATGTCTTCCTTCCTTGAATACATGGTGAGCATTAACAACCGAGCTAATGTAAATTCACAGACATAGGGTAGTAAAAGTGTGAGGGAGAGTTTGGAGCAGTAGTGGCACCGTCCTGGGCCTACTGATATCCCCAGCCCTTGATTTTTTTTACATGGCCACTGCAGAGCCCCATGTCTCAGCAGAGGTGCTACTGCAGGTACAGGGGAACTCTTGAGGCACTTCTCTGTCCAGGGTCTCCTGTGGAGTAGGGGGAACACTCCCGAGGGGGAATCACATCTGAGGCATACCCTGTATGATGAAGCACACAGCTCTAGCTTCTGCACTGTCCACGTCCCACTGACCACACAGCCCTGATGAAGGGTCGTGTCTCACCTGGCACAGACAGGGTCCAAGGAGCACTGAAAGGAGAGCACCCAAACTGACTGGGGACTGGCCATGAGGACACGGAGCATTCCCTTCATTCCCAGGGAAGTCTGTGGTCTATCAGAGCCTGGATCAGAGATATCACCAGGACACTCATCAGCCTGTTATGCTTCACATACTACTATCTACTGACGATATTGCAGACAGCGGTGGAGGAATCTGTGTCCTGTAGTCTGAGGGGAATGAAGAAAGCTTTCAATGCCTTGGGACGGTTGGTGAAAGAGTCTGGAGCACAAGTCCCTTTCTCTTCCCTCCATCCATTCTGGGGTGGTGACATTGGATGGAATAGAAGGATCTGGTCCATAAATGCTTGGCTCCGTGACCTGAGCTACAGGCCCAGCTTTGGGCTATTTGATAATGGCTGGTGTTAAAAGACACCTAGCCTGAGAGGAATACTTGGGAAAGGTTTATCTCACAGGGTCCAGAGGGTTCTGGGACAGCAAATTAGCAGGGCTCTTTTCTAGAGCTTCAAAGCTGTATCCGCAGGCTAATTAGCATGTAGCAGGTCTTCTAGCAGTGGGGCGGTGCCACCGCAGAGATGTTCATCTGATTCGTGTCAATATGGAAACAATGCTAGGGCGCATGGTATGATGAATGTGACCTTCTGTCTTGCATACCCTTGGTGTAACCACAAGTCTGGTTAATGACTTGGTTAATATACATATATAATAACTTGGTTAATATACATTAACCAAGAGTGGTTAATGTATAGAGTTCTTGCATCTTGCAAAGGAATGCTCCAGCAATCTTGACAATAGTTTGCTTGAAGGGAAATGTATTTTAGGCTTTTCCTTGAAGTCTCTAATATCTCGGGGGACGGGGGGAGGGTGTTCAGAATAACTGCTAACTATTATGACTATTGCCTGGGACTCTATGCAAGTCTCTGATATCTGGCCAGGAGTTAAGGAGAAGGGGAAAGCTGAAGAACGACTAAAAAGACAAAGCTTGCAGGGACTCTGTACAAGTCTCTGACATCCGGCCAAGTTAGGACAAAGGAGAAGGACAAGAGGAGAAGACTAGGAGCCTTCAGCATGAGGACCCCAGAGGGACCACTGGAGACTGATACGCATGCTCCAGCTGGAGGGTTTGGATTCCGGAAACTAATTATAATAACCTGTTTTTTCAGAAGTGGTAATGAATATTGTATTAGCCTAGAAGCATAAAAATCAGCTGCTTTAAGTAACTGGTGTGCACCTTGGTGGAGCAGAGACTGCAGGTGCACCCAGAGCTATTTGCTTACCTCTATTCCTTTAATAAATTCTAAACTTTGAATGTAGTCCTATTTTGAAGACTGAGCCATTTATTACAACAATAACAATAACGATGATAATAGTACCACTGGCTGGCAGAGGGGCTCAGGCTGCACAGCATTGCACAAGCAACAAGAGTACAGGGGCTGAGCATCGCAGGGGATGCAGCAGTGGAAGGGACAGAAATGTATTTGGAGAAGCTGTACATGTTTCGTAGCTTAATGGAGAGCTGCAAAACTACAAGACAAATCTGGCAAGGGAAAAGGGGCAGGAGGCCATGTAGGAAGAATACTGCCCTTGAGATACAGGTAAAAACAGCAAGAGTTTGCGGTGTGTGAGAGACAGAAATAACAGCGGGAGCTCAACAAAAGCAGCGGATTGTAGCAGGGGCTGAGGCAGGTTACTCATTGATGAGAGCCTCTGGCTGTGGGCCAGGCTCAGGCGGCCACAGCAAGCCCACAGGGCAGCTCCCAGCTGTGCTACAAGCCTCTGTCCCACTGTCCCAGCTCACAGTAAAGCAGAAACTCGAAGCAGACACTGCTCCCCAAAAGCAGTGCCCTAAAAGATGCTAGGGCAGGCGCCATGTGGCAAGGCTCTCTCCTTCTGGCCCTGCCGTCCTGCTGCTGGTGATCTGTGAGTTGGGGCATTGCTGGGTGTGGGGGCTGAGGCTGGAGGGCTGTTGCTGGAGGCAGGATAGATCTTGGTGGGCACAGGGAAGTTGCGGATAGCGTGTGTGGGGCAGGCGTGCAGCACTGTGGGGCAGAGTTGTTGGGGGAAAGCAGGAGGCCATGACCCCTCTAAAGCAAGCTCTCTCTGCCCCATGCTGCAGGTACTAGCGTGACCACCCAGGACATCTGCACCTCTCAAGGATTTCAGGTGCATGGAGGTGGGTCCAAAATGAACGTGTCCTGGGGAAAGAGATGGGAAGAGAGAAGGGGATTATTCCCTCACAGTTCCCCCTGTGAAGTCCCAGGAGAGCAGATTTTCCAGCCTTGACATGCAGTTGGTTTTGCCACCTGGCCATCACTAATGCTTGCCTGGGGAATCCCTCTGCCTTCTCTCCAGGTAACGACCAGGCTCCAGTCCTGTACCTCAACGCTTCCAGTGCCAGGAGGGGGAAATAGTGCTGCTTCAATGTATCCTTGATGAGCAGTTTCCTCCTACACGAGTTGTCTTCTGCAAGAATGGGCTGGAGGAGTTCAGCCTGAAAGCCCAGCAGGGCAGGCTCATCTATGCTCTGGTCCTGAACATCACCTCCAGAAAGTGCTGGGATGTACACGTGTGGGTACAGC